GTGCTGTGAATCCAGGCTGTTGCTCTCTGGCTATCCTCCGCCCAGGTTTTCTGAGCACACTTGTGTGTGTGTTGGGGGGGAGATAAGGCAAAATGACAGCTGTGTGAGACCATGATTTTTCACTCCATTATCCTGCTCTGTGCTTCCACCCCCTCACCCCGGAGCATATTTTAGATTCCCCTTTGGAGCCTGTTGCTTAATCAGCTAGAAGGGCTGCTGCCTCGTTGTTGTTCAAGAAACCCTTCTTAACCTGGCTCCTGCCTGTCCCAGAAGGGTGGGACCCAATTTAGGCTTGGGACTGTGGTGTTGCAGGGTGGTAACCGCTGTGCCCTGGTACAGAAGGGACCCTGCTGGGACCTATTGCCTGACCTCTGCAGCTTGCTTGGCTGTGCTTGCCCAGGCTGGGAGTTGCGCTTGAGTGGAAGTTCTCAGGGTTCACAGGTCTGGGCAAACATAGCCATGAAAGAAGGAGGTTCGAGAGTTGTCTTCCTGATGGTGGTGTGACAGGTTCCCAGGGACACAGACCTTTGATCGTTCGTTGGAGTAGGAGCGTAAGCAAGTCAGATGTATGTTAATGTGGTTATACAGAACAGCAGGCAGCGGATAAAAATCGTGTCTGTTTGCTGCGCCCTCACCCAGGTACGCCTGCCTCCCGCTTCGGTTCCCAAGGCTCTGCCTACATTCCTTGTAGTAAGAAAGTCAAAAATAGCCACAGGGTTTTGTAGACTTTAGACACACAGAAACCCACATGCATAAGTAAATACTAGGTGAGGGGACTCCACCTCTAAGTGTTTTGTGTGTGGTTTCTGGTGACTGGAGCTCTGCTTTCAGGGTTCACAATGTCCCCTGAATGCCTTGATAGGATTATTTCCCTGTATGTCTCTGCAGCCCATCCATTCCTCTTTCTGTAATCCCATCTCCTGGGGCAAGAGAAGCAGCTCTGGGTTTATAGTATGCCCAGAATCCTGTAGCTGGGATTATTTTTTGTGCTTGTGTCTTACAAGGCTATTCCTCCCTTCTTTCTTTCAGTGATGCTTCCTTCCCACTGAGCTCCAGCCAGGGAAAGTTCCTCTCACCTACTTGTCAAAACATGAATCATTCCTCACCTTTCCTGTCCCCAACAGGCTCTGTGTCTGCATTTTGTACGCTAATAATGTGGCATTGCATAGATTAGGAGTGTGGCACATCCCTCTAAAAGGAGACGCGTTGGCTGTCTCAGGGAGAGCCACAGTTCCTAGAATAAGTTGGTGGCCACAGAAGGGGCGAGGGAAGTGGGGCTCTTAATGGGGGGAATGGCTGGAACTGTGTTTGGCCAAGGTGTTTGCAGCAGAAGTTGAGGTTGGCAGGGAGAACAAACTCTGCGGCCACGGTCCTTCCACCTAGTTGGTTTTGTGTGGAAGGTGAGTAGGCTAAGCCTGGGCATGTTGATGGAGCATAGCAGGTCAAAGGGTTAGCTAATCACCTCGGGTAAAGTGATGAGGAAAGGCCTGAGCTGCTAAAAACAAACAGCTGGCACACCTGGGTAGGCAAGAGAGACAGAGAGGCTCAGGTAGACTAAAGGAAGCTGTGATCCCATCAGCAGAAGTTGCATGAAGATAAGCAAATGGTGTTCCTAGTCAGTGCGCCTGACCTCTCGGGGTTCAGTTTGGTGATGTCTCCTCCCTGTGCCGGCCCCCGCCTCAGGGCAGTGGAGTCACTTGCTCCTGGCAGTCTCGTCTGTCTCTCGCAGCCCTTGGGTCCTGTGCTTCACCACCACCAAGATGCTGGTCTAGGGCTGGGCCAGAGAGCATTCTTTCTCGTAGGGTTTTTTATGCCTGTCCCTTCTGATGTCTCATGAAGCTACCGCTGTCCTGGTGCCAGGTATTGTAGGTTACAAGGATCAGTACCATCTCTCTTCACAGTAGTGTGAAGTGATCACCCACTGAAACCTTTTTAGGAGGGATTTTCTGCCCCCTCCCCCAATCTCTGAACAAAGTGGTGGGCAAGAGATTCAATCCTTCTTCATTCCCATAATGGGAACATGGAAAACATGCTTGAAAGGATCATATTCCTGCAGCATTTCTAGCTCATGCTATCCCTGAGCATCCAGGAGATCAGGAGAGGTGATAGAGGCTGTGTAGAAAGTGAAGTATTTCAAGATTAAAAACTGTGCCCAGCCTCTGGGTGAAGTGGGGAGGTCTCTTCTGTAGTCTTACATGATTCACTTCCCGTTTCTGCTCTGACTCTGCACTTTCTGTGCTTCTTTTCTCAGCACGACTGAACCATGGAGCTTCGAGTGGGGAACAAATACCGACTGGGCAGAAAGATTGGCAGTGGTTCATTTGGAGACATTTACCTAGGTGAGTGTGAGTCTGTCCTTCCATTTGCAAAGTTGTTTTTCTCAATTACATCTTTGTTTTGGGGTTGTTTTTCTTGCCTGTTGATATTTGTGGGCACCATGTAAGGTTGGAGGTGGTGGAGAGAAAAAGAGCATCAAGGAATACTGCTGGTTGTTGCCGGTCTTCTGATGGCAAAGAAAGTGTGGTGAGCTCAGCTTTGCCAGCAAGTGAGTGGTGTTTGATCAGACTGGTTTAGATTTGGACTATTCAGGGCATATTTGTCATACACCTTACTTGAGCTCTCACTTCCTTTTCTTGAGCTTGGATGTGTGTGTGGTTATAAACTCTGTAAAGAGTGGGTGGTGAAAAGGAAGGAGATAGTTGTTCCTTCAGGGTAGAATGAATGAAGTCTTGGGAAGATCGGTAGTGGAAGAGGTGGTCCAGCACCAGTGAGAGAGAGGTCTGAGACCAGGAGGTGTAAAACAGGCCGGAGAGGCTGGCCTGGTTAAAGTCCTGGGGCCCAGATCTGTTAGATCTGTAATGGGATTTAGAGTTAATGTCTGGAATGACCTGAGCTGGGAGCTCAATGGACAGAGCCCGTGAGATCCTGGGTTTCCGGTTACCATGGCAGGTCACTTGGGGAGAAGTTCTTCCAAAGCAGCATGCTGATGCGTAGATATGTTCCCCAATGCTTTGCGTGCTGATGTTTTTATTGGCTCAAACCATGTGGGGCCAGAGTGACAAGACTACCCAGTAGCCTAATCGATCCCTCCGTGAGAGCTGGTGTGGCTCTACCTGTTGTCTAGTTCTCACCACTACCTCTTTAGTCGTGGTCCTGCAGGCCAGCAGAACGATTACCCTCTCCTTTCCTGGTGTTTGCACCCTTTGGGTACTTACAGATGGTCATCATATCCTCCTTGACTGTTAATTTGCTCAGTTGAGTTGTATTTTGCTTCCCAGTACATCCATCGCTCTTGCTCCTCCTTCAGTTTTTCCCAGTTTGTCCGTCTGCTAAGCAGCTTGGAGCCCACACAGCATTCGAGGTGTGGCATTTCCAGTGCTGGGCAGGGAAGGGCTACCCTTGACTGATCTGTAATGTGATGCCTCTGCCTCCACCACTTTGGGTCTCCTTGGCTTCCCACTTCACCAACACTGTATCTGGTTGCAGAATTGGCCTTGGTGCACTGTCAGCTGTGTTGTAGGAGATCTCTTCTAGGTTCTGCAACATCTTCCCATCCCTCCCCAAGTTCCTTTTGTTGAATACCTAATAGTTTAGATTATTTTTCCCTGTGTTTGTAAATCACCTTCTGTTTTGTACCTCTGGCTTTTATCTCCAGTTCCCTCTTACTTTATTCTCCCTTGGTCGGTGTTGGCAGCCTCTCTTGATTAAGTATCTTGTGGGAATCATCAGTAACATGCTTTGTTGACACCTTTATCCAGAGCATGAACAAAGATGATAAATAATGGATCTGGGATCCCAATTCTACCATGTGCTGCCTTTACCACAGCCTACTTGGGTATGTCATTCCTCTGGCCCTCCAGCCAGTCAGTGTCTTGGATGACAGATCTTTTAATTCCCAGGTGCTGGGGATTGAGGGGTGATAGCCCAGACACAGCATTTTCCACCTATGCTAGGGCTTGAAGCCTTCCAGAGCCTCTCTAGGACAGTATAAATTGTCAGGATCTTGCAAAACATCTGGGATACGCATGGAGAAAGAAGAGGGGTACTGAGTGGAAAGGCCTGATGCTGTATTCCTTTGTACTACCTAACAGGTTGTCCACCTGTGCAAGGGAGGCACGGAAAGCAGGCTCTGGTGAAGGGATTGTACCCGCCTTGCCCGTAACCAAACAACATGAGAGGCGGAGGAAGCCCCAGAGTGGTGAGCACAGCAGGATGTCTCCAACTGCTGAGTTCAACCAAGTTACTTGAATGCAGTATCAAAGCCCTTGTGATGTTCACTGAGGTGCAAGCCAGCATGTTTTGAAGCATTGATAGCGAGACTTCTAGGAGCCTGGGTGACTCCCCAGCCTGGAGGGATGCGACATGTAGTCTCTGATGGTGCGTCTGGAGGACGCTTCTGCTCATGCTGTCCTCTCACAGTCTGCTCTGCAGACAGAGGGACTCATTCACAAGGCCTTCTCTCCTGCACCAGATTCACCTCACAGTTCTCTTGATAATGGCGTGGAGACAGAGCAAAGACAGACAAGCTTTGTCTGTCTCTGAAGGTGTGCATGGGCTGTGTGGTTTATCCCCAGCCTCTCTCTTTTAGGGTGTTAGTACCTTCACCCACTTTGTAACCAGTGGGTACTGTGTGCTGAGCTTTTTGGGATTTGGGATTCCTTCCTCTCAGAAGGAAACTTGAATTTCTATATGGGCAGACACAAAGGGTGGACTCCTGTTAATCCTTGGCTGGGGCTTAAAGTGCAATGCCTTGCTTGCCTGCCCTACTTTGGGAGTAGAGATGTGCTGGAGGGGTTGATATTCCTCCCATGTTGGCTTGGGAGGGTGGGAAATGAGATTAAGCTGCCCACCAGCCTTGGCTAGTCTACAAATGCTCACTCAGAGGGCAAAACCCAGTTTGTGGAGCAGCTGCTGAGACCTTTGGGCCCTCAGAGGGGAGGTGCTTTGTTAGAGGTGTTAGCCAAGAGGCAAGGCAAGGTTGCTGGACCTGTGGTCGAGGTTGGGATGCACTGGAGGGGACATCAGGGGTGGATAGGAGTGGGGAACAGTGGGGCAGACAAAGCATGCTGGGATCTGGCTGCCTGGGGACAGTTCCTGGTGGCAGGCTCCTCCCTCGCTGGGAGGGGAGTGCCTTCCCTTTGTTTCCTGGACTGTTAACTCTCTCTTGCCCTATGTGACTTCTTCCATCTGTTCCCTGCCCTCCTTTCTTCCCTGCCAAGCTGGCAAGAGGGGAGCGGACGGTGGGGCGAGCAGGAGGACCCCGATGCACAGGGAGGGTGGCGTTTATCGTCTCAGACATACAGTAAGCTTCCGCTCTGAGCAGATCCTGTTTAGCTGGTGACATCCTCTGTCCCCGGGGCCCTGTTTCAAACAGCTCTTGATGAATGAGTTGAATTTGTGCAGCCCTCACAGTGGAGAGAGACTGGGGGTGGATGTTAGGAGTTATCCCCAATCCTACATACGTCTCTCGAGTGGCTCTGCTGCGTTTGTCTGAAATGTGGTGCTTTCCAGTCTGGAGAGGGAGTGGAGAACTGTTGCTTTTGTACTTGTAGCTTTAAAAAAGATGGTGGTTAAAGCATGGAACAAAGGATCAGAAAGACTCCTGCCCCTGAATTCCCTCCTTGCTTGTGGTAGTCTCTGTCTGGGTCGATCTCTAGCTAAAAATGACAAGAGGGAACAACCTGAAGACATACGGGGGCTTGGGGAGGGGATGAGCCTAAAGCATTCAGTTGGTGACCCCGTCAGCAAAGAATAGCTCCTCATTAGGTCCAGTTGGTCCCACTTTTGCTGTTCTAGGGCACAGGGTTGTTTCTTCTTTTTTTAAGAGACTGAGTGTTTGGGCTGTGGAGAGTGTGGGGCTGAAGGCCATGTTGATCATTTGAATGGCATATTCACATTTTGCAGAATCTAAGTTTTCTTGCTGCTTACCCCTCCTTTCCCTTATCCTGCTTTACATGCTCGCAGATAACATTCCCCACCTGCAGACAGCCTGGTAGATGGCTGCTTCATCATCTTCCTAAACACACAGGGTTGTGTGGAGATGAGAACTCATTTATCACAGTTCAGCTTTGGTGTTCATTCGAAATGCTAATGCTGCTGCTGCCAAAAGTCAACAGGACTTATCATTGCATGGGCTAGGAGAGGGAAAAATTCCCCCAAGGAACAAACAAGGGAGCTGCTGTAGAGGATTTGGAGGAAAGTTTTCACAAAGGCAGGGGAAACGGAGAAGGAGAGGAAGAGCTCTTATCTTTTTGGATGTCCTGGGTGTTTACATGCTAAATGAGTGCCAGTGATTGAATACTAATTTAAAAGGTAGGTACTACTCCAGGGCCATGCTCTTACTGTGATCTGAGCCCCTTTTTCTGCTCTCTTCCTTCTTGCAGTCCTGATGCTTGGAGGAAGGGTCCAGTGGAGGAAGGGAGTGAAGAGAGTGTACAGACTTGTTTTGCTGGCCAGCAGTTTTTAAGTGGAAGATGCCAGCGTCTTTCCAAAAGTAACCATTGGACAAGTGGCTCTGGCTCTCAGGATGGCTTTTTCCCTTTCCCTTCTCCTGGATCTTGAGTAAAAACCCTTATTAAATTCATCCCATTGCTCCTCCTTCCACTCCCTCGGAGCACCCTAAATAATTCCTCTCCCTCCTTGGTGTTTACAGCCTTTAAATATTTGCAGACTGTTGTCATGTCCCATTCTTCCTCCCCACCCTTCTTAGTTGTATCTCTTGTCTATGTTACATATTTAGCTCTTTTAATCTTTCTTAGTAAATCAAACCCTCTAGGCCTGATCATTTTTGTTCCTCTCTCACAAATTCCTAGCAGCTTGTCTGTCTTGCCCTGATGCTGTCGTATCTGGGTGACGTCTTTTTGCTAGCAGGCAGCTCTAGGCTAACTTTGTGTACAAGCCAGAACTCTTTAACAGGAGATGGATCTCCTTAGGGTCCAGGGCAGGAGGGATCCAGTTGTGTGAACATTTCCTTTTTTTTCTTTGGACCCTGGCTCTGGAGGAGGTGTGTGGAAAGAGGATGAATGGAGAAATCTATCTGCTGCTGTGGACTCTGAAAGTCTTATGATGGGGATCAGGTGGCACGAATTAACCAGACCTACCAAAACTAGCTATGGGATATCTGCAAAACATCACCTTTGACTCCAGCTCATGTTGGGCATGCATGTTCTGGAGTAGTTTATTTTGTGACAGTGTTCATAAGCTGCTCCTGACCAGAGCTGCTCTGATTTGTGTTTGAATGCAACTTTTAATAGTTACAGATATGAGGAAGGGCTTCTCTGTGTGTTTGTGAGGCAGGCATGGGAGGGGCGAAGAAAGAAGCAAGTCCTGAGTGTCATTCCCGTGACCTGTGTACAGATCTTAATTCTTTCCATTTTAGGATGATGTGAAACATCTGGAATCCTCTCAGCTAGGATGAGAGAAAGACCAGCCTGTTCCTCCTCTGACAATGCAGTTTGGGACCAGAGCACTGGTTTTCGTGGCTGGCAGCTCAGTTCTTTCAGAAAGAAGCACATGGGGTGGTGGTTTTACGTCATTGCAAACTATCTAGTGATACCTTCAACAGAGGCACCTGAGTAGCTTAATTCAGTACCGGATTCAGTTTATTTCTTCATGCTTCTAATTTAGAATATAGTAAATGTTTCTGTTTTGGCAAAAGATAAAGGCATTATTAAAGCCCTCAGGATAGGGAGAAGCTGGAGATTTGGGAATTGTCTATATTGGGCACATCAGGGCTGTGGAGAAACCAGAGGTAGCTGGCAATGTTAGCAGTGTCTCCTCCTGAACTAATTGGCTCTGTTGAAATCATGTACCCGAGGTAACTGGTAATTTTGCTCTGGAAGATGTACTCCACATCACTGCCTGGGGAGCTGGCTTGGGTTCAGGGGCTGGGTATATGATCAGGGACAGCTAAAACTTCCACTCAGTTTAGGTGCTGCCTGATACATACAGATTGACCTCCCAAGTCTGGTGCTTTTTGAGATAACAAGGCAGGTGGACTGTTGTTCTAGGCTGGCTGCTGGATCAGAGCTGGTTTCCTGTTCATGTGCCTTCCTCTGGGTTTGCTTTTGCAAATGGGAGTGCTGCTGGAAACACTGTATGAAGTTGAAGTGGCTGAATCTCATTTCTGTCACGGAGAATAAATTTCAGGGCAAATCTTAAGGTTTTGGCATCTGTACAGGCCTTGTTAAAAGTGTTCAGCTTGAGTGGAAGCTTGCACAATCTTCATTTCACCCTCATTTCTATGCAGGAGCCAATATTGCGACTGGTGAAGAGGTGGCCATCAAACTGGAATGTGTCAAAACCAAGCATCCCCAGCTCCACATTGAAAGCAAGTTCTACAAGATGATGCAGGGAGGAGGTGAGATGGGGAAGAAAGGATGGGGCTGGGGGAGTGGTTGAAGAAGGAAATTATTCTGGAGGGCCTTAGAAAGGAAGTTATTTGGTGTTACATATGATCTTCTCAGCAGGGGATGCAACAGTTTTCCTCTGTTCTGTGGGCTTAATCTTTCTCTCTCCCCAGTGGGTATCCCCTCCATTAAGTGGTGTGGAGCAGAGGGGGACTATAATGTGATGGTGATGGAGCTCTTGGGGCCCAGCCTGGAAGATCTCTTCAACTTCTGTTCCCGCAAATTTAGTCTCAAGACAGTTCTGCTCCTGGCAGACCAGATGGTGAGCTTCCTCTGAAGCATTTGTGCCTACTCTCCTTTACCGTGCCTTTTCCCTGCCCCCCATCCCCTCTGCTGAAGAACTGCTGTATCCCAGGCTTTTTTCATTTAGCAGCAAGTGGCTGCCAGGTTTCTATTTCCTGGTGAAGCTGGGGGCCTGGAACCTAAGCACTGCTGGCTTTTCCTGATCTCCATCCCTCCTTCCTTCCCCTGCTGCTCACCCCGTGTTAGTGTTGCATGTGTAGATGCTTTTGCCTGCGTAATGAACGACTGACACTGCTACCTATCTTGACGCAACCGCCCATGCCCTGAGTGTTAGACCCTTAGCTGTTCTGGACACTCTTCTTTCCCAGTCTTGCTAAGCTTGAAAGTTGACTGGTGTCAGTCCTGAAGCTTGACGTTTTGGTCCATACAGTCTTGCTTCCCATCCTTCCTTGTGGTGCTAATGGTGACCTCCCTAGACTGAGGACTGGGCTGGTGTGCAGAGTTGTATTCCATCTGCATTCACCATCTCCAGATCCTTCTGCCTCCAGAGGGTGACCTTTTCCTTGGCTGTTGTCTCTGATATTCTCTGCAAAGTGTTCCTTTTCCTTCTCTGACAGAACAGTGGCCTGGACAAGGGTACTTTTTTTTTTTTTTTTAACATATGCAGTTGCAGTAAGTTCCCTTCCTGCTTGTCTCACTATTTATTTATTTATTCTCCCCTTCCAGATCAGTCGTATTGAGTACATCCATTCCAAGAACTTCATCCACCGGGATGTGAAGCCAGATAACTTCCTTATGGGCCTTGGCAAAAAAGGCAACCTAGTATACATCATTGATTTTGGTTTGGCCAAGAAGTACCGAGACGCCCGGACCCACCAGCACATCCCTTACCGGGAAAACAAGAATCTGACTGGCACAGCCCGTTATGCCTCTATCAACACCCACCTGGGAATTGGTGAGCTTGCTGTTACGCCTTGGGGGGGCTTTCCAGGGAGGTGGTGTGTCCCCAGAACGAGGGGGTTGGGCATGGCTCCACTGCTGACCTGTGTTGACGTGTTACCCACCACTGAGGGCAGGGACAGCCATGTGCTGGAAATGTACCAGAAGCTGAAATGAAGGGAGGTTTCATACTGCCTGGACATCCAGGTTTTGTGGTTGAGAATTGACTCTCGTGGGCCTTCAAAATGTCTGTGTGTCTGTGAAACACACTGCCCTGTTCATCACAAAGAGTAAGAGAGACTGAGGCAGCCTCAGGGGGAGGTGGGGCTCTGCCCTTAGTGTTCGTGGCTGGTACTATGGGG